GCGGCCCCCCCCCCCCGCCGCTTCCCCAGGAAAGCGCGGCCGCCGGGCTCGCTTCCTGCTCGGCTTCCTGCACTGGGTCCCTCCTCCTCCTCCTCCTTCTCCTCCTCCTCCTCCCGACGCGGGGGTCAGTGGGCGCTCAGCTCCCGGGCTCCGCCGGCAGGGCGGGGGCAGCGGCAGCACCACCACGTGGCCACCGAGCGCCGGCCCCCACCGACCTGGATCCCGTGGGCTCGAGGAGGGAGGTGCTAGCCACTCCCACCCCGCGCGGCCCCAAATTCCCGGAGTCAGGTGACCTGGCCTGGGCGCTGCTCCCCGGACCTGCGGGAGGTGCTCTCGGACCGCCCACGCTCAGTCCCGCGGCGAGGCCAGGACGTCCACGATCAGTTTTGGTTTCTGCGGATCGTGGGATCCTTCTGCGTGGATCTGTCTCACATCTTTACCTGAAGTTAGTGGGAACCACAGTATGCGTGGCCCACCGCTGGGGTAAGGATGAGGGCCGGAAAAGTACTCGTTTCTGGTCAGTTTCCAAAGTTATCTGTGGTCTTAGGGAAAGCAAGGTCAGGGGCAGAAGTCAGAGCCACTGACCCGAGCCCCTCTGAACCAGAGTCGAATTGGTTCCATTTCCAAAGTCATGGAACAGAAAGAAACCAGAATGTACTCACATTTTCTAGGCTGAACCGGACTGTTTCCTTACCACTCCTCAGGTGGTAAGACAAAACTTAGTTGTGTTTTGCTCAGGAGTTGGGAAGACTTATGCCTGGACTGACTGGAAAGAACAGGAGCGCCCTCAGCGGGGTGTCTGAGTTGGAAGTCCTTAGGTCTCCTGAAGCTTCCCTCCCCCAGCCCACCAAGACAGGACCTCTAAACCTAGATGGACGCCTCCGTTAATTCTGGGGATTTCAAACCTCTCCACTTACTCCCTTAATTTAAGAAGGCTTTTCCATGCATTTTAGTCCCACTAACCAGCTAGGTCGTAGAAAGTTAGACTCACCAGAGCTCTGTGGACTCCTGAGTCTTTGGCACGGAGAGAACTAAGTGGTGTAGTTGTTTTGCTAGGCTCTACTTACTGTAAGTCCACTGAAGTTGGGAGGAGAAACAGCCAGTTCCAACAGAAGTGAAATTCACTCTAACAGCAATCAGTATACTGTATCTTGGCTGTGTATTAACATCAGATATCCCGTGTGTTTTCCCCACCCCTATGCGCCCCAAGAGAACGGCTGGCTGCCTCAGCTTTCACAAGCCAACTTGCCAACTAGAAAACAAAAACTTCATCCTTAGCCCAATAGTCTTTGCTTCCTCACATCAGGCATCAAAAAGATCCCCGAGCACGGGGCCAGAGGGGGGTGAGGGTGGGGGATTAGGGTGTGGAGGGAGGAACCAGTTCAAAGCAAGATGCACACTTGACATGTGATACAGAACTCAAACCACACTAAAAGAAACGTAACTGATAAGCACTTTGTTTAATGCTGGCAATTTCTGCAACCCAGGTTTTCGTCTTGGTTTATTTAATCAGTTACCACAGAACATTTGAATACCTTAGAGCACTGAACCTACAGCATTGATCGAAGTCACCTGTGGATTTTTTTTTTTCACCTATGGGTATTGTTGAATCAAAGGCAACTAGGATGATGGCACAAGGTGTAAAGAGCTGCTTTGGAAATGTCAGTGTGTGTACATTGTTTAGAAACCGATGACAAGTCACAGTTAAACTATTAAACAAGTGTCTAGCCAGCCTTTCATTCACCCAAGTCCTCACCTCTGCTATTCTTGCCCAGTCACCTGCCAAGAGCCTTTGTCAAGCTGCCAGGCTCCCATAGGTGTCTATTCTCATTAGTTTATAACCCAACCCTCATCAGCAAGTCTGATGTGTGTGAGGCATTGTATGGAAGGAAGACCATGCCAAAACCATTTGCAGATTCACTCTTCAGAGTTAAAACTGGCATCCAATAGACTCCATCTAGAGTCTTCAGCTGCCTTAGACAACAACTAAAATTCTCCCTCCTGTGTGGAAATTAATGGATAAGTTTGAGGTAAAGTAGTATCTGGTTGTTTTTTGTTTGTTTGGTTGGTTTGCCCAGAAGTTTTAGAAATGACAACTGAGCGCAGGATATTTGAATAGGTCTGGGACTTGTAAATGGGCAGCAAGAATGAAGTGAGCAGCTGCTATCTCATGTCTGTTAAAATCCTGTAGGATAAGCAAGTTGCATTCCTTTATCCCCAGGAAGGTAATTGTGGCACAATACATATTGCAATGAGTACCAAGAGGAAGGAGCCCAAGTGAACAGATCCATTTCTTTGTTTGTTTTGATTTTTCCAAACAGGGTTTCTCTGTGTAACAGCCCTGGCTGTTCTGGAACTCACTCTGTAGACCAGGCTGGCCTCCAACTCACAGAATTCCTCCTGCCTCTGCCTCCCGAGTGCTGTGATTAAAGGTGTGTGCCACCGCCACTACAAACTGGCTTCAGATGCATGCATTTTGTTTACTTTTGAACTTAGAGTGTTTTAACCTCCTCTGGCCTTCCTTACTTTCCTAATCAATAAAAGAACACACATCAAATTGCATGGCCTCTTAGAACCTCCTCAGTTCAAATCCCTAATCCTACTCTTAATTTGTAGTGCCTTTATAAGCAAAGTCTCCTTGTTGTTCTTAAGGTAAAGCACTCTCTAGTCATTCTCTAGTGCCATCTAGCACTTAGTAGGACTTCATGAATAGCCACCTAGCACTTAGTAGGACTTCATGAATGAAATACAGTGATTTGGTAAGACGCGGGCTTTGTTTTTAAAGCTAAATAATATCACATCTCCTCCCTTGCTCAATCTCTCATCAGTTTTGGTTCTCCTCAGATTAGGAACATTTGAAGATAAATAAAAACTACCCAACCTTGCCTAAGAAAATAGATATCGGACCAAAACCAAAGTACTGTCCACTTTATTTGGTGTGTGGTGAGTGCTACAGTTTAGATATGAGATGTCCATGTGTGCTCAAGGCTTTGACCCCCAGGACTGTGCTATAGAGAGATGGTGGGACTTTTAGGAGGTATAAACTTCTAAGAGGCATTTCAGTTCCAACATATGTGTCCTTGAAGGGGTTTGTGTACCCAAGTATCTCCATCTTTATCTTTTGTTTCCCCTGCATGAAGCAAGCAGCTTGGCTGTGCCATGAGTACTGGCCATCATATAATACTTTGCCACAAGCCTACAAGCACCATGACTGTGGGTCTCAGACTGCAGCCTCTGTACCTGTGAACTAAAATCAGGCTTCCAGCCAAGAGTGATTGCACGTGCCAGTAATCTCAGCTCTTGGCAGGGGAATCAGGAGAACAAAGTCATCTTTATCTTCATGATGAATTCAAGGCTAGATCGGGCTACATGAAACCTCATCTCAAATGTCCAAATTAATTAATTAAAGCTTATCTTTTTATAGGTCGATTATCTCTCGTATTTTGTTACAGTGATGGGACGCTGACTCACAGTCAACATCTGACCCCTACTCTGTCTAATAAAAAGCATCCAGATTGAGAGAAATGTGGGGCTCTCTGGATTCAATCCAGAGAAGAAGGGGAAAACATAATAATACAGTCGGAAGGTTCAAATACTCATAGAAAAAAAACTTTTTTTATATTTCCAGTATGAAACCACTAACACAGGAAAACATTAAAAAGTAACTTTAGATTGCAGAATTTAGTAAGTTCATGGTGGTAAAGCAGCTTCAAACACTAATTGGTTTGTGGTTTTTGGACTAACTGGAAATCTGGTGAATGCCTTTCTAAAGGTAGGTTGTTCTCCTCTGTGTCTGAGCAGATTTGCCCACTTGCTCAGGAGAGGAGGCTACAGAAAGCCCTGCCTCCGTGCCCTGCTTGAAGCAGGCAGCAGGCCAGCTGGGCATCTTGGCCTTGACACCAGAGACCTGAGAAGGCCTTAAGGCTTTGGTGATGACTCAGGATTGCTGATTCTCAGCACTATCCTGGTAGTTTGGTGGTGACAGATACTACAGGTCTACTGGGTACCCATCTACCATGTACTATAAAATGCAAACATACCCAATTGCATGTGCTAGTATGAAGATAAAAAAAAATAAAGGGCAAGTGTCTCTAACCCTGTTTTTATATTGATTAGAAATAGAAATGTACATATTTTCTATGTCAACATTATTTTACTTATTTCATCCTTGATCTAAACAAATATGGTTAATAGAGCTGGGTATTTAGCTAAAGTGGTAGACTGCTTGCCTGGAGCAGGCACAATGTCCTGGGTTCAGTCTCCAGTACCACACACCGAAATAGATGGTTAATAGAAAATTTAAAAGGTTATTATTTGATTTACATTATATTTCATTTTGGTGACATTTCTTTAAGGGTTCATATTATGAGTGAACACACTTTAGCATTCACTACATATCAAGCTCTTTTCTAAGTGATCAACTACAGCGACCATGTGCTTAGGTGTCCAGTCTTCCGCACTGCTCGATGTTAAGGGGGAGTTACAAATTCTGGGCAGGTCTGAATAGAGAACAAATGGCAAAACTGGCAACATTTTATGCTTACATAAGTGTTAGGTCAATTAATCCTTGTGTCAGTTTGATGGATCAGAAAGACCTGGGGCACAGAAAGAGTAAGTAATTTGCCCAAAGTCGTCAGTTTATGATCAGGTAGTAGGGGTTATGATTCAACTTAGGACAGTCTGGCTCCAGGACCTTTGTCCTTAACTGTCGCGCAGTCCTGTCTTCATGAGACATAACATGGATTTCCTTAGTATTGTTTCTCCTAATATCCAGGCCAACTTAAGGCATTATGTTATCCTGTGTCTATAAATGGGGAAACTAGGTTTCAGATAGATGCAGAAATTTGTGCAAATCGCAAAACTAGAAAGAATAGAGGTAAGAATCTAAGCATGGTTGTCCAAGTCTGGAATGATCCTTTTAGTCACCTCCACTAACACATGGCAATCAATCTCTTCACTTATTTTCTGCTCTGCAGAGGACTGAATATGGGAGGATAAAGCCCCAGCTGGCAGCACCCTGAGTACAAACAACCAAAGGCATGGAAAGCTTGACCTTGATGGCCTTTCCTTTCTGAGAACATTTAAAGCTAATCCCTATGTATTCCATTGCCAAGATGGCTCCTTTACTGTGGTCATCAGAAATGCCAGGAACTATTTCCCCATGCAGACTATGGAAGATGTTCCAAAGGGTCCACAGACATCAAGCTGCAGCTCTCATGGAGCTCCAGAGTCAGAAAGGGTACCTTGGCATATGAGTTCATATGTACACCATGCAGTTTTTCTTGCTTCTGCTGGAGGTCACAATCTCAGGAGCCCTTGAAAGTGACCTTTCGGAGAATGAAAAAGAAAAAGAAACTACTGTCTAATGAGTTAAGTTTCCCCAGAAGATGTGAACACTTTCCTGCCCCAGATAAGACACCAGAACCAAGCTGAGTAACAGTACCATCCAAGTCTAGCTTGGGGAGCTAATGAGTTTATTGGGCATAGTTGACCCCAAATCACCTACATCACCCCCAAAATCACAGCATATGTGACAATGTCCTGAGAGTTTCATAGATAGAATTCCCTTCAATTAACTTTCTCTCTATACAAGAGCACCTTCTGAGACCCATGTGCAGTTGGGGCATAACTACATGCAACTGGAGGTGGAGGGTATAAGCTGGAGAGAGTAGCCAGGCAGTGGTGGTCCACACCTTTAATCCCAGCACTTGGGAGGCAGAGGCAGGCAGATCTCTGAGTTTGAGGCCAGCCTGG